ACAAGGCGTGATTGCCCACTTTTATGTTTACCTATCTTCTAATTAAAACTTTTTATTACATTTATTTAGTTAGTTGTGTGTGTGTGTGTGTGTGTGTGTGTGTGTGTGTGTGTGTGTACATGTCAGGCTTGTGCAGCAAGAGCTTTTACCTACTAAGACATCTCCCCAGCCTCAATGTCATGATGTGATGTCCCTTGGTTTCTAACACACTTTCTGTCTCGCCCCTATGACAAATCTCTTTTTTTTTCAGTCTTTTTGAGACAGGGTCTCCCTGTAGCCCTAGCTGTCCTGGAACTCACTATGTAGACCAGGCTGGCCTTGAACTCACAAAGATCCACCTGCCTCTGCCTTCTAAGTGCTGGGATTTAAGGCGTGCATGACCATGCCCTGCTCACCCTGTGAATATTATAATTGTTGATTATACTAGAGTTGTCTGGAAAACATAGCTTCATTTGTTGATGTCTTGTAGTACACATTGACATATCTCTGAAGTGATTATGTACACTACTTCTGGACTCATTTCCTGAAATTAATGGCACATGGTTCTTTTGGCTGATGGGGTGTGAGCGGGTAGGTGTGGGCGTTTCCTGGAGAGCTGCAAGGCTGATTTTGACATTCTTGTCAAAATTCCTGTCCTTGTCTGTCCAGAGACAGGAATTACAGAGGTCCAATTAACTACATAGCTTCCTGAGCGAGGGTGTGTGTGTGTGTGTGTGTGTGTGTGTGTGTTACTAGAGATTGAACCCAGGGCCTCATGCATGCTACCTGGGTAAGTGCTCTATCACAGGGTCTTCCTGTAGCTCCAGCTGACCTGGAACTCTATGTAGACCAGGCTGGCCTCGAACTCACAGAGATCCGCCTGCCTCTGCCTCCCAAGTGCTGGGACTAAAGGCGTGTGCCACCATGCCTGGCATCACTGCTCTTTTTTTAAAAAAAATTTGAGACAGGGCCTTGCTATGTTGCTTAAGCTGGCCTTGAATTCACCCTGTAGCACCAGACAGGCCTTGAAGTCAATATGCTCCTGCCCTAGCTATGTCCCTGTGTCCCTAGGCCCAGCTTCAACATTGTCGCTTTTGTTTTTTAATCTTTTTGAGACAGGGTCTCCCTGTAGCCTCAGCTGGCCTGGAACTCCCTATGTAAACCAGGCTGGCCTTGAACTCACAGAGCTCTGCCTGCCTCTGCCTCCTGAGTGCTGAGACTAAAGGCGTGTGCTACTATGCCTCACTCAACATTCATTGCCTCTTTACTTCCCCAGTGTTGGCACACTGTCACCATCATTAAGTAAAGTCACCACCAGAAGGAACCCCAAATGCTAGGACTCCATTTGCTCAGATGGTCTCTTTATTTGAAAAGTTAAAGAAGCTCTGGTGTGTAATAGACCTGGGCGTCTGGGTTTTGGCCTTGGTGTGTGTGCAAATAGCTTCAGTGTTCAGAGATGAAAAGTTTTAGAAATATTAATCTTGACATTTAAAGCAAATGCAGGTCCTGACACAGTACTGGATATTTTAAACTTAGTTCTTTGGTTCTCTTTCTTTTGACTTCTCTATATTGATGTAATTTCAGTGCTTTCTGCTAAGGCCACAAAAGCTGAAAAGTGAATAGTTAACATGTTAAGATATAACAGCCAAGGAATGCAGGGATGGGGAAAAGAACATGCTGGGATTTCCAGCTCTGCTGTGTTTAAGCAGCGGCTGCATGTCAGGTATTGGGAGCTAAATTCTTTTCTGGTGTTGGCACTCTGCTCTCTTCTGTGGTCTTACAACAGGCGAGGCTTTCTTGCTCTAGAACAGCCCCTTTTCTTTCTTCAGCTGCAGCTGTTTCCAGCCAGGCAGAGCAGTAAATTGCCCTCTTGTGATGCCAAACACAGCTACAAAATCCTGTTCAGAGAGGTAATTCTAAGAGAGAAAAAATTTGTAGTTAGGAGGACATGGCACCTGTTTTCTTTTCTTTTCTTTCTTTCTTTTTTTTTTTTTGACATACATTTTTTTTTTTTTTTTTTTTTTTTTTTTTTTTTTTTTTTTTTTTTTGACATAGGGTCTCCTTGTAGCTCCAACTGGCCTAGAACTTGCTACGTAGACCAGCCTAGTCTTGATCCCATAGAGATCTACGTGCTTCTGCCTCCCCAGTGCTGGGATTAAAAGTGTGCACCACCATGTCTGGCCTACTAATGCCAACACGTGGGGAGAGTGGGCAGGAGGGAGGTCTAGGGCTAGAGGTGTGACTTTGTGGTGGAGTGCTGGCTTAGTGTGCAGGAGGCCCTGGGTTTGAGTCCTTGCACCACAATCAAATGGGGGATGGAGAACGAATTCTCAGGAAGACTGCAGTAGACTTAAATTATGCATTGGCCATGGGCTCTCATTTTGACCTAAGGAGGAAGCTGACTGGGTTCACCTAGTTTATTGCCAGATAGATAATAAGTGGGCTATCTATTATGGATGAATTGTAAACATTAGATTTTGGAAGGATGGAGACTTAAACAATGTTTTGGGTTTTTTTTTTTTTTTTTTTTTTTTGCTTCATGTCATTTTTAATCCAGAACTTCACTGTGTGTGTGTGTGTGTACACACCATGCTAGGGAGTGAACCCAAGACTACTCTGAGCATCTAAAGTGTGTGCTCTACCACTGAGCTATATCTCCAGTGCCCCAGAATTTCTCAACTGCAACAGCTAATGAATCTTACCAATTTTGTACCCTTCTTAAGATTATTAGCCCGTGGCCTTTGTCTTTTTTTTTTTTTTTCCTCTGAGACAGCTTCTCATTGTAATCCAGGCTGTTGTAGAACTCGCTATGTGGTCAGTGTTCTAGAACCTGTGGTGATCCTGCCTCAGTCTCCCAAGTGCTGGATTACAGCCATGAGCCATCATGTGCAGCTAACCTGTGGCCTCTGCTTCCAAGACACTCAGTCTAGATACTTAAGACTTGGACTTGACTAGATATGTCCTGGTGGAAAATCTAGAGTCTTTTCTCAAATCAACTCTTTCTCTCTCTTTTTTTATTTTTATTTTTTTGGTCTTTTTTGAGACGGTCTCCCTATAGCCCCAGCTGGCCTGGAACTCATTATGTAGACACAGAGATCCACCTGCCTCTGCCTCCCAAGTGCTAAGATTAAAGGTGTGGTAGTCAAAATCAAATACACTCTTGATCAAGGAGAAAATTAATTTCAACATGAGTATGTTAATTTGTTCAACTAAAACCTAAGGCATGACTACCATCTGCTAGGCCCTGTTTTAGGTAGGAGAAACCAACGTCCAAACTGGATGTTACTGGGGGAGAGACAGTGAATGGCGTCTAAAGGAGAAAGTGGGCACTCAGGGAAAGAGTTAGGAAGGCTGTGGTCAAGGAAGGCTACCCTGAAGAGATGACTAAGTTGAACCGTAAATGGTAAGAAGGAGCTGGCTCCGAGGTATTCTGGGAGAAGAGCCACTCACACAGGAGCACCAGCAAGTGTAAAGACTCCAAGATAGGGATAAGCAAATTCAAGCAACAGAAAGCAGGCACCAGCAAGGGGTGGTGGGTAAGCAGAGGCTAGTGTGTGTGAGATCTCTGAGGGCAGCGGCCAGGGTATATAAGCCTTTGGATTCTTTTGTAAGTACAGTGAGAAGACATTGGAGGTACTTTCATTTTAAAAAAGATTTATTTGGGGCCTCACTCTATATCCCTGGCTGGCCTAGACCTCACTAAGGAGACCAAGCTAGCCTTGAACTCACAGAGGTATATGCCTGACTCTGCCTCCTGAGAGGCTGGAATTAAAGGCATATACCACCATGCCTGGCTTGTTTAACATTTTCTATGACATTTATTTTGTGTGTGGGCATGTACCTGCCACTTTCCATGTGGAGGTCAGAGAAAAACTTAGGGAAATGAATTGATTCTCTTCTCCCACTGTTGTGCGTCCTGGGGATTGAACTCAAATCATTAAACTTGGCTGAAAGTGTCTTTACCCTCTGAGTCATCTCATCAGTCCATGAGGTCTTTTTTAAAATAGAGCAGTATCAGTAGTATCATCCAATTTCGAAAGATCCCTGGTGGTGGGCCTGGTGGTGCGCCTTTAATTCCAGCACTCAGGAGGCAGAGGCAGGTTATCTCTCAGTTTGAAGACAGTCTGGTCTAACTTAGTAAGTTTCAGGCCAGGCAAGGTTACATAGTGAAACCTGGTCAGAGAGGGGAGGGGTTCTGGCTACTAATAATTATAATTATATGTGAGAAATGGATTCTGGGAATGGTAGGAAAGCCATTGGACCACAGTAGTCCATGATGACCTGACTAATCGTAGGGAAGTGGAGAGGAGGTGCACAGAGGCTACCTAGATTCCTGTGGGAGGTAGGAAAAACGTTCAAGAAGGAGCCTTTAGTTTTTTGTTTGACTCAGTAGCTCAGTGCCCCTTGGGAGCCTACAGTTGCCAGAACTGCTTTAGGCTCTTCACTGATTGGGTGCTTTAACTGATGGAGAGCCCCACTTCCCTCAGGTACAGTGCCTTGACCACTCACCTCTTTTTTGGCAGGGTTCACATCCTCAGGCAGCTCCTGGTTCTGACTCTTCAGTAGAACTTCAATGGGGTAATACTTTGGCTCACTGTCATTAGAATTCAGGGAGAGGGTTGCATTCTTCATATCCTAAGAGAAAAATACAGAGGGGAAAAGTCTATGTGATATTTTACATGGCCCCGGTTCTGCATGCATTTAATATTTACATTTTGGCTTATATTACTTCACCCTTTCCAATTATGTTTCATAACAGCAGTCCCCAAACCTGGGTGCATGTGAAAACCATCCAGGAAAGTTGATTCATAAGTCTAAGGGGAGTCCTTATAGCCAGATTATCATACATGCTGTGCTTGTCTTTTCTAATTAATTAATTTGTAATCCTGGGAATTGAACCCAAGGCCTTGTGCTAGGCAAATACTCTATCACTGAACTATTACAACTCCAGCTGAAAGTCCCTTCTAAGTATTATGATCACAGACCACCTCCTGACATTTTATTTAGGCCTTATATTTCCAGCCTTGTAATGCCTTCGGAGTCATCCTCAAGTACAGTTAGAAGATACTAACTATATCACCATCAGCTTTGGAATCTGACTTTGCAGAGCACAAAATGCTGACAAATATTTGATCACCTGGCGCCATGAATTCCTTTCTGATGTTGGACCCTTGGCTTTCTGACTAGGAACTCTACTTCTCCTAGCTATTAAAATAGCGATTAATGACCTAAACTGTGGGGGGCTCACTGTCAGAAACTGATAAAAGTATCATTTGGATTAGAAGCTTATTTCTGAAAAATGTTGCCAATATCCTTAATTTCTCCTGAATGTCAGAGAGAATTGAATAATAAATTTAGTTTTTGTTTTTATTGTTCTATTAGTTTTAAACCACTTTTTCCTCTTTCTTTTCTTTTCTTTTTTTTCTTTTCTTTGAGACAGGGTCTCCCTGTAGCTCCAACTGGCCTGGAACTCACTATGTAGACCAGGCTGGCCCCAGTCTCACAGAGATTCATCTGCCTCTGCCACCTGAGTGCTGGGATTAAAGGCACGCACCACCATACTTGGCTTTTTTAAATTAAAAAAATGTTTAATTTATGTGTATGAGCCTCTATGTATGTAAGTGCAGTATGTGCATGCAGTGCCCATGGAGGCCAGAAGAGGGCATTGGATCCCATGGAACTGGGCTTACAGATAGTTGTTAGCCACCATGTGGGTCCTAAGAACCAAGCCCTGGGTCCTCTGCAAGAGCAGCCAGTGTTCTTAACCAGTGAGCCATCTCTCCAACTCCTACCTTAAATTCTTGATTTTCCTATTTCTGCTTCCCAAATGCACTCCCTGCCCAGTTTTCATTTTTTTTAAACTGGTCTGCTCTAAAATGGAAAGTAGTTAAGTAAGGAACTTGGCTCTGAGAACTGCCTTTCTTTTTCCTCCACCGACTACCCACCCCCTCCCCTTTTTTTGAAATAGAGGTCTTGCTGTGTAGCCTCGGCTGGCCTTGAACTCATGATTCTCTTGCTTTTGCTTCTTAAGTGCTCGAGACCTGCTTTACTATTGAATTAAAAAAAAGAAAAGAAAAAGGGCCTGGAGAGATGGCTCAGAGCTTAAGAACACTGCTTGTTCTTGCAGAAGACCCGGGTTTGAATCCCAGAACCCACATGGCAGCTAACAACTGTCCATAACTCCAGTCCCAGGGGATCTGACAGCCTTTTCTGACCTTTGCAGGCATTGCACGACATGGGTGCACTTACCTACATGCAGGCAATACATGCAAACATAGAAAATAAATAAAAATTAAACAACAATAACTACAAAAAAAACCAAAATAAAACACCAAAACCAGCTGGGCGTGGTGGCACACGCCTTTAGTCCCAGCTCTCCAGAGGCAGAGGCAGGCGGATCTCTATGAGTTCACGACCAGCCTGGCCTACATAGTGAGTTCCAGGCCAGCTGGGGCTTCCTGTCTCAAAAGGCTCCTCCCGTTCCCCCCCCCCCAAAAAAAAACCCTTGGGGCTGGGTGTAATTCAGTGGTAGAGTGCCTCCCTAGTGGGCACTGTCCCTCCCTGGGTCTGGGGCTTCTTAAGGGAAAACCTGACTCACAGCAGTGATCTGCACGATTGCAGTGGCATCACCCAGCTCTTTCTTTAACTGTTCATATGATTTTCCTGCCTGAAAATAGAAAAAGAACCAGGATGAGGTATTTATTGTTAACAGGGGAGGGGCATTTTAGGCCTTGTGTTTACACACAAGGAAAAGCAAAAAGAGGGAGAGTCATAAAGCACTTCATTATGTGTGGACCATGAAGGCTCAGAAGGGTCTTAGGCATGATCTACACTCTTTGATGGTGCAGCTATAAGAAAAAGAGTGCAGTTGGCTAGGAGTCAGAAACGTGCTTTCCTCCTCTTGGCTCACTGTGACTTAAGTAACTGTCTGCTTAGCTTCTTCACCTGCAAAATGAGAAACAGCACTGCTGCACTGGCTCTCAGGGTGGTTGTAAAGACCAGAAAGATGGTGTGCGAGGGTGCCTTCCATTGTTCCTCACTGCTGCCTGCTGGTATCTGGGAATAGCTAACTAGACTTCCCTGCTCCGGGGTTGAGGGAGAAGAAAATAAGTCAGAGTGTGGTGTGGGAATGGGAGGAGGTGAGGTCCTGGCTTTTCTTGGCTCTTGAGTCAGTATCCCCCCTCCCCCATAAGCTCTGAGTTCTGAGGACCCTGGCAGTCAGAACATCACCCCCAATCTCTTTTCTTACACTCCAAATGTGAGGGTCCCAGGCCAGGAACCAGCCTGTGAAGGTGGGAGGCTCAAAGCCCTGTTTGATGATCAGGATGGGTGTGTCCGGGTCTCGGCCACTGGGGTGAGTGAGCAGGTACTCCTGGGCTGTCCCAAGGGCCTTCTCCTTCTCAATGGCCTCGGCGCCTATCCATAAGAACACCTGTGACACCAATTTAATAATAGTCAGTGCTTTCCTGCCAAGGTCTAAGTGCTGTTCATTTCCCCTCAGCCAGTTCTCAGCCTCATTTGTTCAGCAAACAGAAAGGTTTTCCCAGAAGCAGCTTGACATCTTTCATTTTATGCCACATGTATCTCCCAAACCTTTTATCTCCAAACCTGAGCTCTCTGAACCTGAGTTTCCTGAATTAACTGCCTGCAAAACTCCTCTTTGCTGTCTCTAAGCACCTCAAACCTCCCCAAATGTAGCTATTCTTTTCTTATTTATTATTTTTATTTATTTATTATTTTAATTTTATGTGTATAAGTGTATTGCTTGCATGTATATAAGTTCACCCGTGTTGTGCAATGCTGTGGAGGTCAGAAGAGGAGGTCAGATTCCCCTGGAACTGGAGTTAAGGACAGTTTGTAGCCACCATGTGGGTGCTGGGAATCAAACCTGGGTGTTCTGCAAAAGCAGTCAGTGCTCTTAACCGCTGAGCCATTTCTCCAGCCCCTATTATTTTATTTTCATATGTATGAGTGTATTGTCTGCATGTGTATAAGTACACCCAAGCCATGCAAGGCCCGTAGAGGTCAGAAGAAGACATCCGATCCCCTGGAACTGGAGTCAGATGGTTGTCAGCCGCCATATGGGTGCTGGGAATCGAACCTGGGTCCTCTGTGAGAGCAGCCAGCACTCTTAACCATTGACTCTTAACCATTTCTCCAGCCCCGTAGCTGTTCTTTTCAAAATGCATATCTGAATTTCTACTCTTGGTAAGTGGCATCTATTCAGTCACCTAGGGCGGAACTGGGAGTTATGTCCATAGCTCCTGTATCCAATGAGTCACAAGGACTGGCCAGTTGTCAGATCTGTCTCCATCCCTCTCTTCCTGTTCCACTGCTCTCATGTAGCCCACAGCAGCTCTTTCTTGCCCCATCGCTTTTCCAGACATAGTAGGCCAGGCTATTGCGTCTGTAACTTCCTCCTCAGCTTCATTTCTAGGGCACTTCTTTACCTTGTTTTTTGTTATTTCTTTATTTTGAGACAGGGTCTCATTCTATAGTCAAACTTACTTTCTCCCTCTGTGGCCCAGACCAGCCTTGAACTCACAGCAAACTCATGCCTCATCCTCCCCAGTGCTGGGATTATAAGCATGAGCCACCCTGCTAGGCTCATCTTGTGCTCTGATAGTGTTTCATGTTTGGCTTTCCAAGTGCCATTTCCTTTGTCCAGAAGCCCTTCCCTCCTTTGCTGCTAATGCCTATTCTTGTGATTCAGCCTGTGAGTCACCTCCTCCAGGAATCTTCTCAGAACCCCTAAGCTGTGCTGACATTTCTGCTCCCATGGCACCTTGCATACCCCTCATCATAATGCATTTATGTTTCTCTGTCTGGCCCCTCCCACCAGCCTGGGCTCTTCACTTGATGGCATCCACTTAGCACAGTGACTCCTATGGCGGAAGTTCCCTGAGCTGCTCTGAAGAAAATGGCGTATGGAGGAGGAAGGGTTGCCTTGAAGGCCTCCAGTTCATATGTCCCCTAAAAGGCCTAATTCTCTGGGTTTGGAGTCTGTCATCAATCCTAAAATAAAGAAGGGCAAGATAAACTACATACTTTGCTTCCCAAAGCAAGCTGAGAAAATTCCCAGGGATAAGGGGCTTTTTGTTTTGTTTATTTTTTGGTATTTTGAGACAGGGTTTCATTGTGTATCCCACTCTGACCTTGAACTTTAGGTTCTCTTGCCTCTACCTGCCAAGTGTAGGTAGATTGTTTCTGTGAGATTGAGGCCAGCCTGGTCTACATAGTGAGTTCCAAATCAGCTGGGGCTACAGGGAGACCCTGCCTCAAAAAAAAAAAAAAAAAAACAACAAAAAACACAAAAAACCCTACAAGCAAACAAAAAAAGATTTTATTTATTTTTATTTTATGTGTGAGTGCTTTGCTTGCATATATGTAAGTGCACCACATGTCTGTGTGAGGCCCACAGAAGCCAGAAGAGGGCACCAGGTCCCCTGGAACTGGAGTTAAGGACAAGTGTTAGCTGTTATGTGGGTGCTGGGAACTGAACCTGGGTCCTCTGGAAAAGCAATAAGTGCTCTTACCCACTGAGACATCTCTCCAGCCCTTTAAAAAATATTTTATTGGGGGCTGGAGAGATGGCTCAGTGGTTAAGAACACTGGTTGTTCTTGTAGAAGACCCAGGTTCGAATCCCAGCACCCACATGGCAGCTAACAACTGTCTGTAACTGCAGTCCCAGGGGACCGACAGCCTCTTCTGACCTGTGCAGGCATTGCACATCACGGGTGCACTTACCAATATGCAGGCAACACATGCATACACATAAAATTTTAAAAAATATATTTTATTTATTACATTTATTTTATGTGTATGAGTGTTCTACCTGCATGTATGTAAGTGCACCACATTTGTGCAATGCCCACAAAGGACAGAAGATGGCGTTGGATACTCCAGAACTGGAGTTAACAGACAACTGTGGGCCACAGGAACCAAACCCAGGTCCTCTGGAAGAATAGCAAATGCTCTTAATCACCGAGTTGTCTCTCTGGTCCTAAGGGTGGTAAGTTTTAAACATCTGTTCTGACAGTGGCATAAAGCAGCTTCTTCCTTTGAAAGTCCCTGAAAACAGTTGATTTGAAGTTGCCCAGGACTAGTGTCAGTTCAGTTAGGCTGGGGATACTATGCACAAACCAATCCCTAAACTATGGGAATCTTTGCCATTTGTCCTGAGCTCTGTGGCTGTGTCTTACCTGGTCCCAGGTGTCCAGGAGCATCACATCAGTTGGGTTCAGGTCATCCTGAGTGAAGTCTGTGACCTCAGTGACAAGGAACCGGCCAGTCTTATTGGAACATTCAAAAAGCCGGGACTGGACATCCAGAATTTCTTGCTGTAATCTGTAATACAGGCATGCAGAAGAACAGAGCTTCACTGAAATCATGTTCCCATGTTCGTATGTTTGTGTGTGTGTGTGTATGTGTGTGTGTGTGTGTGTGTGTATTTGTGTGTGTGCATATGGAGGCCAGAAGTTGATACTGGATTCTCAATCTCTCTCTGTCTCTCTGTCTCTCTGTCTCTGTCTCTGTCTCTCTCTTTCTCTCTCTCTCTCTCTCTCTCTCTCTCTCTCTCTCTCTCTCTCTCTCTCTCGTCACACTACACAGCCTTGGCAGGCAAGGGACTTGCTATGGAGACCAGGCTGACCACTTAGAGAGATCTGCTTGCCTCAGCCTCCCAAGGGCTAAGGAATAAAAGGCGTGGCTGGATAGCTTTTGTCTAGACTAGCTGGCCAGAAAGTACAAGGGATCTTGCTGTCACTGCCTCCCCAGTGCTGGGATTACAGGCACATATTGCTGCATCTGGCTTAAAACTTTTTTTAATTCATTTATTTTTATTTTTATGTGTATGTTTTGCCTGCACCATATGTGCACAATGCCTATGTAGGTTAGAAAAGGGCGTTGGATCCCTTGGAACTAGAGGTATGAACAGTTGTTAGCTGCCAACTGGGTGCTGGGAACTGAATCCAGGTCCTCAGGAAGAACAGCCAGTATTCTTAACTGCTGAGCCATCTCTCATGCTTCCTTGCTTTTTTTTTTTTTTTTTTTTTTTTTTAACATGGATTCTGGGGTGTGGAACTCAGATCCTCCAGCTTTGCACAGCAAGTACTTTACTAACTGAAACATCACCCTAGCCTAAGAATCATGTGTTTATTTTTTTTTATTTTTAATTTTTAGTCTTTTGAGACAGGGTCTCCCTGTAGTCCCAGATGTCCTGGAACTCACTATGTAGACCAGGTTGGCCTTGAACTCACAGAGATCTGCCTATCTCTGCCTCCTGAGTGCTGGGATCAAAGGCCTGTGCTACCATGCCTGAAAAGAATCATGTTTTTAAAACTACAAGGGTCTTAAGATTTGCACAAGTCACAAGCTTGGAGGCAAGGGGACCCCAGAAAGGGGGCTGCTGGGTTCACGTACCTTTTGTCATTAGCATAGGGTGTTTTCCCTCCTAGTAGGTCCCAGAATTCAGCTGGCTCTTGACCCTCAGCCACAGTATCCTCAGTGCCATCACAGAGAAGTTCAGCCAGTTCCTTAGCCATCACTCGCTCATCCCCACTTGACCCCTAAGTGAGTGAGGAGACACAGGTGTTAGAAACACAGAGCATACTGAGGGAAAGCAAGGCTTCTGAGACTGGAGTCAGGATCAGTTTTCAAGCCACAATGCCTCAGGAGAGGTTTGTCTCAATGCTAGAAAGAGGAAAGGACGACAGAGCACACAGGCAAAGGCAGGACTGGATTCTGAAACAGTGGTCACAGACAGGAGACACATTTCTTTCAGCTTCAACTGGAGTTTTAGCACATGATTTCTTTTCCCCAGTACAAATTCTAGGGTCTTACATGTGCTGGGCCAACACTCTACCTCCATAGCAACATCCCCTAGCCCTAGCAAGTAATTTTTTTTTTTTAGAAAAAATTAATTATCGTAAATTTGACTCTGTTGGGCACACGGTTCCATGAGATTTAACAAACACAGAACCATGTTAACTCAGGAGAGGTACAGAATAGTTCTCTCCTTAGTTCTCCCCAATTCCTTTGAAGTAAAGTCCTGAATCCTTAACTCTTTTTTAAAAATTTTATTTATGTTTTATGTGTATAAGTGTTATGCCTGCATGTATGTGAGTGCACCCATGTTGTGCAGTGCCTCAGGATGCAAGAAGAGTGCGTTGGATTCTCTGGACTGTAGTTATGGACGACTGTTAGCTGCCATGTGGGTGCTGGGAACAGAACCCAGGTCCTCTGCAAGAGCAGCCAGTGCTCTTAACCTCTGAGCTATCTCTCTTGTCCCTGAATCCTTAACTGTTGAAAATTACTAAGCTGTTCTCCGTCAGAATTCTTTGCCTTTTCTAGACTGTCATAATGGACTCTAATATTTAGGCTTTTAAATCTAGATTCTTTCTCTTAGCATGAATTGGTACAGTGATTCATTCCTTTTTAATTGTTGAGTACTATTCCATAGTATGGCTATACCTCTGTCTGTTTATTCATTTTATAGTTGGATTGTTTCTAATTTGAGGAGATTATGAATAAATGTGCTATATACATACATGTGCATATATTTGTTTAAATATAGGTTGTGTGTGTACATATGCTATATGTATACACATGTATGTATATGCATGTAGAGGCCAAAGTTTGCTTAGGGCATGTTCTTCTGTTGCCTTATTTTACACTTTATCTTAGCCAAAAAGCTGAGAACTGCTCTTCCCCTTTTTTTTTTTTTCTTTTTTTCTGAGATAGGTCTCTCACTGAACCTGGCGCTCTCTGATTCCACTAGACTGGCTGGCCAGTAAGCTCCAGGAATTGGTCTATCTCTGCCCCTTTTCCACCCCAGTGCTGGGGTTACAGGTGCTGTATTAGTTAGGGCAGGAACCTGGAGGCAGGAGCTGGAGCACAGGCCACGGAGGAATGTTGCTTACTGGCTTGCTCCCCTGGCCCCTGCCCAGCCAGCCCTCCTACACAACATAGGCCCACCTGCCCAGGGGTGGCACCATCTACAGTGGGCTGCCTCCCCCACCCAATAATCAAGATGCCCCACAGACATGGCCATAGGCTAGCCCAACAGAGGAAATTCCTCAATTGAAGCTCCCTCAACCCAGGTATGTCAAGTTGACACTAAAGCTGTCCAGCACAGATGTACACTACCATTCCTAGCTTCTTATTAGGTGCTGGAGATCTGAACGCAGGTCCTTGTTTTAACAGCAAAGCACTTAATCGAATGAGCCATCTCCCCAATCCCTAAAGAGAAACATTGATTTCACTTCTGTAAATACTCAGGATTAGGATTTCTGGAACATGTGGCCGAGGTGTGTTGAATGTTATTAGAAACTGTCAAACTGCATCCCGTTTTGCAGCCCTACCAACAATGCACAGGGGATTCTGCTGCTCTGTGGCCTTACACATATTTTTGTATTGTTCGTGTTTTTAGTTCTTTAACATGTACAGTGACACTTAATAATGATGTTGGGCATTTTTCTTAACTTCCCCCCCAGTTTCTTTGTTTTTTGGAATGGGGTCTTTATATGTCAGGCTGGCCTTGAACGTGAGACCCTTTTGCTTCAAACTCCATAGCTGGAATTATAGCTTCATACCACCACGCTCATTTCTCCCCATTTTATTTCTTATTTTTCTTAAAATTTATTTATTTTCTTTTTAAAAAATATTTTTATTTATTATTTTTATTTTTCATGTGTATGCGTGTATTGCCTGCATGTAGGTAAGTGCACCTGTGTCGTGAAATGCCAGCGGAGGACAGAAGAGGCTGTCCGATTCCCTGGAACCGGAGTTACAGACAGTTGTTAGCTGCCATGTGGGTGCTGGGATTCAAACCCAGGTCCTTTGCAAGAACAGTCAGTGTTCTTAACCGCTGAGCCATCTCTCCAGCCCCTATTTATTTATTTTCATTTTATGTGTATGAGTGTATTGCCTGCATGTAAGTACACCTGTGTCATTCAATGCCCTAGGAGGTCAGAAGAGGGCATTGGATCCCCTGGAACTGGAGATACAGATGGTTGTTAGCCACCAAGTGGGCGCTGGGATTCAAACCTGGGTCCTCTGCAAGAGTAGCCAATGCTCTTAACTGCTGAGCCATCTCTCCAGCCCCATTTTTCCCCATTTTAAAGTTGATTAATTAATTACTGTATGTTTGTATGATGGAGGTCAGCAGAAAACTTTTGGAAGTTAGTTTTCTCCTTCCACAGTGTAGTCTGGGGGGCAAACTAAAGTTACTGGGTTTGTGTAGCAAGCACTTTTGTCCTCTGAGCCACCTCGCTGGTTTCCCCCTACCCCCAGACCTTGTTTTTGGAGATAGGGTCTCATTATGTTGCCTAGGAAATCCGGCCTCAAACTCATGATCTCTTGCCTCAGCCTCCCAAGTGCTGAAATTCCAGGCACACATCACCATGCTTGACCTTTAATTGTCCTTTTAGGCACTAATGTGATATAAAGCGACAGCGTTACCTTTTGCATTTCTGTTCTTGTTAGCACCTGTGCTGTCATGTGGGAAAGGCACTGATCCAGTCTGCATGTAGATGAGTGCCTGCCATGTCTCTGGGGGTTAAGCAGGGCTGGTGTTGATTTTCTAATGGGGACCACTTGTGGGGTAGGTGGGTGATTCCTTTGAAGATTCTTTAGGCAAAAGTCCCCCTCTTTGGGGGGACTGTGCCAGTCTAATCTTTGGTTCTTTTGACTGTGCTGACAGGACCACGGTGGTCTCCAAGGGGCTGACCTGACCCCTGAGCTCAGCCATCCTACCTTGCCATACCACAGGTAGTGCTCTGCTTGGGTTTGCAGCAGAAAGACATCATTAGAGTTCAGGGAGGAGGCAAAGGCTGGGACTTCCACTGCTTTTGTGTTGGATTTGTTATTTCCTTGAATCTGGAAGAGTCTTACTGGAGGGTCAGGCTCTGCATTTCCCTTCCTGGAAGTCCCACCCTAGAGGGAAGAAAAAATGGGTTCAGATCTCCAGAGCACTCGGCTGACTGTGGTGGACTTGTGATTGTGGACACCATCCCAACCCTTCAGGAGCTCCTAGGCCAAACAGAAGGATACTATTAGTCTAATTCTGAGAACAACCTATGCCAGGCTCTGGGACCACTGGGTAGTATCTTACGCCACCTCACTGACCTCAGAATAACTCTATATAAAGTAGGTATTATTTCACAGGGCAGACGAGGAAACAGGCTGGGAAAGTGGCTTACATAGGACAAGAAGGGGACCTGACTCCAGACTTCCGTGATACCTAGCATGTGACTTTATCATTGTCTGCCCATGCTTCAGCCAGGGCTCCAAGGAAGGGCCTTGGACTTGAAGAGGGGCACATTTGTAGGTAAAGTGTGGCCAGGTTGGGATGGTGCAAGGTGGGGAGCTGGGCCTGCACAGATAATGTGACTCAAATAGTGAAACGTCATGATTACTGACTAGCTAGTGGTTTGGACTTGAAGACCTAGGCATTTGGGATTCCTTTGAGTGTCTGACACAGACAACTCCCTCTTTTGTCTCTGGCTAAGCCAGGCCTTATTCTCCACCCCACTCCCTTTGCCTGTTCCATGGCCCCCTACTGGCTTGTCAGTTCTCAGCATTCCTGCTCAGGTTACAGTTTTATCTGCCAGTTCTCACCTCATAGATAACCAGCTTTCCCTTGAAGATGGACATGAAGTGGCGTGGCTCCTTTCCCATGCTCACTCGAACCTGCACAGGGACCCCATCAAACTGCTGATCCACCTCCACAGCCTGGTAGGCTGAGGCTGCCAGCTCATCCTGTGAGGCATGTCGACCCTGCAGAGGTGAGAGGGTAGTGATGGACACCAGTCCAGTAGCCAGGGAGGCATTGGACCCAACGCTAAAAGCTTGTGCCTGGCCTACCTGCCAGATGTACAGGATGTACTGGGGCTTCCCGTTCACCTCGTATGTGTAAAGGACCAGATAGCAGTCTCCCCCATAGAAGAAGCCATACCATTGCCGTTCCACGGGGACCAGCTCCAGGTTCTCAATTCTCCAGACCTGGGCAGGAGAAAACATAATTCCCCAGAGACAGGCGACATGTTCAGAGAGAATGCCACCTGAAGGGATCTGGGTGATGTTTAAACAGAGCCCAGGGGGATGAGGTGCTGAGATGCATCCCAAGTGGCCCTTCCCTCTCTGGATCTTTTCTATTCCAGCTCATCACATTTGTATAATGTGACTCCTGAGAAGGGGGTTGTGCAGGCCCAGTGCCTCTGGTCATGCTGCTGGATCTTTCTTTGCAGGCTGAGTGATGTTTTGAATATATCTATCAGGTGATAGTCCATTGGGGGATATGCCTCTCACTTCCCCGACAGCATTGTGTAGAAAACAGCCAGCTCCAGGACTCTTAGAGAATAGGAGGCCATGTTGGGAGTGGGGTATGGAGAGCCAAGCAGAGTGGCCTGCCCTCCTCTGCAGCAGTAATTACCCTGGAGGTCTAGTGCCGCCTTCAGCAGGCTCACCTCAACTTTCCCATTGCCATCGTCTACCATTCTTTCCTGGGCAGCCACCTCTGGCTTGGTGTGTAGCAGAGTCACATCAAACTTGTCCTGAAAAATTTTAGCTGCAGAGAAGGGGTTGGAAAAAGCCAAATGAATGAGATGCATTCATACCTCTTTCTAGATCTGCGTGGAAAAGGATGCTCCAGGGGCAAGCTCACCGATTTTACCAATGCTGAAAGTTTTTCCCAGGCCTGTGGTCTGGTCCTTCACTGACCACTTCTGGAACAACTGTTTGAACATGGCCGACTCAGCACCATCATTGACAGTCTCTACATTGGTACTGCTGGGGTAGCCCTTCATCTTGATGAAGTCCTGTGAACCCCACCCCCATACAGAAGCAGCTCAGTCAGGCAGTATGCTAAGTTTTTTGCTCATTTGTTAATTCATTCCTCTGAAGTCAGTTGAGGGATTTCTTCCTCCTCATCCCCAGCAGGCAGAGTCAAATTCTAACTTCTGTCTAGCCATCAAGCAACCTAACTCAAAAAGATGACTGAATAGAACATCTTGGCATTTCTTCATTAGCCTACCATGATTATGATTATTATTAATTGATTTTTCAAAACCATCTATGTAACTCTATGACTTAAAAAATTATTTATCTATTGTGTATGAGTGCTTTACCTGCATGTACACCACGTATGTGCAATATGTGAAGAGGCCAGAAGGGGACATAGGATCCCCCAGAACTGGAATTAAGGGCTGGTGTTAGCCACCCAGTGGATGCTGGGAATGGAACCTGGGTCCTCTGCAAGGGTAACCGGTGATCTTAATCACTGAGCCATCTCTCCAGTCCCTTTGTATGGTAATCATGTGCTCATTTATTGTTTAATTAAAAAAAAATTTTATGTGTATGAGTATACTGCCTACACGTAGGTAGGTGCACCCGTGTCATACAGTGTCCATGGAGGTCAGAAGAGGGCATTGGATCCCCTGGAACTGGAGTTATGGATGGTTATTAGCCTCCATGTGGGTGCTGGGAACTGAACCTAGGTCCTCTGCAACAGTCAGTGCTCTTAACCACTGAGCCATCTCCCAGCTTCTCATTTATTGCTTTTTTTTTTTGGTCTTTTTGAGACAGGGTCTCTCTGTAGCCCCAGCTGTCCTGGAACTCACTATGTAGACCAGGCTGGACTTGAACTCACAGAGAGCCACCTACCTCTGTCTCCCGAGTGCCACAACACCTGGCTTCATTTATTGCTTTTAAGCACATGTCACTTGGGTCATCTACTGGGTTTGCAGGAGTTCCACCCCCCCCTTAAAAAAGCTCCTTGAGGATAGAGCCATTAATCTGGACATGTGACATGTGCTATCCCTTTCAATAATAACAGCACCTTCCATGGAGCAGTTGCTGTATCATTTTGGGTACTTTACAAATGGTTTTAACATTAACAGCTCTCTTGGAGATAGGGATGTCTTGGTACCTATCTACAGGGATACTGACAGAACTATTTCAGTAGTGTTCATCTATAGTGCCTACCAGTGCTTTGGACATGGCTGCCTGTTTTTCAACCTTTGTGGCTCCTCTGCCTTTCCACACGTAGATCTTGGCTCCACTTTGATCCAGGATGTAGCAGTCCTGAAGCAGTCAGGAATAAATATGGTTACTGACACTCAAGACAGAGGAAGGGCTTGGCCCAGGGTCTGCCTTTGAAACCATGCCTAGCTTCCCCAAGCTGAGCCCCACTGAGCACTACTTACATCATGACTCAGTAGATCCTGGACCAGAGGCCGTGTTGCCACCTCTGTGACCGCCAGCTGCCCAGCTGCATCTGAGACCCTGGTGATGGAGAGGGGTTAGCCTGCACCTTCTCTCTGTAAAGCCCCCTAGTTAACTTAATGTTTTAGTGGGAAGAATTTGACTTCCTTTTAAATTATTTATTTGCTTTATTTATTATTTATTTATTTATTTTGGTCTTTTTGAGACAGGGCCTCCCTGTAGCCCCAGCTGTCCTGGAACCCACTATGTAGACCAGGCT